GGGGGGGGGGGGGGGGGGGGGGGGGGGGGGGGGGGGGGGGTTGCGGAGCGACAACAGAGAGGCAAGGGAGAGTGGGGGGGGGGTCGTGATGTGTAGCGGTAGCTACACTTGTCGAGAGGGTGACCGATGTATACGTTTTCGGTAGAAGCTGTTGCTATAGCCTTGAACCACCCGCCTACCGCGGGGCTGAAACGAGCACCGCCCATGTACCGTACCCAGCTGTGCTGTGCTACAAAGCGTCACCTATCATAGCAGGCGGCAGCTCACAGCATTACGCACGCACAAACCGCTACCTGCCGTTGCCAGCGCAAGCAAAACCTTGGTGCACGATACGATACACGCGGTGCCTTTCACGATCCCCCGGCCCGAAATTGTTTCGGTTCCGGACGTCGTGAGAGTGCCCTACAACTCCGTCCTCCGGTCTGGCCTGCACAACTCGGTCAACCCCCGTCGTGTCGTCCCACTCTTTTTAGTCGTTTTCTTTGCTACTTCGTATAATCTTGTGACAGAAATCAGAGGAACGAATCAATCTCTTTTCCCATTGATAAAATGGGGGGAAAAAGCAGATCGACGGCACAAGATAAGTATTTGCGAATGAAGTCGCGGCGCCTTTGAAAGCGCTCGTCTCTTCTTGAGATGTGACCGGTGTTAAAAGGTTATCTCCGCATCCCCCACCCCGGATAACAGCCCCTATGCTATTCGCTAGACGAAAGAGAAGGCTTCCATGAGGGGTAACCGACCCCGGGTGTGCAGCAGCATCCATTTTCGCATAACCTTCTCCTGCGAAAAGCCCCTATATTGTCCGCTAGACAAAAGAGAAGGATTGTACGAAGGGGAAGCGACACCGAGTGTTCAGCAGCGTCCACGTGGGGTGGCATGCATGCATACATACACACCTGTTACGTCTCCAGGGGGGAAGGTACGGCACCCCCGCGGGAAGTACCTCCCACGACTCGTACTCCTCCCCACGGTACTGTTCGCGTCGCCCCGCCGCCACCTGCCCGACCAAGAAGGAGGGCGGGGGAGCAGGCGGCGAAACAAACAAACGAACGTCGCACGAATACAGAACCGAACACAAACAAAAACAAACGAACGCTTCACGAGTCAGGTCGGCGGAAGCACGCAATGAAGGATACCTTTGGTGAGGAATAAGGCTTGGCGCGGAGTGGCACGCGCCACGGACGCGTGAGCAACCGGTTTGCTCGGTAACCAGGATAGAAGCGTTGTTATCTTTGTCTAGAGTGCCCCCGACCGATTGACAAAAGAGGCGTGAGACCTTCTCTCGTATACAACGGGTGTGAATAGAAACTCGAAAAACTGCAGAGTAGGGATGCAGCGTGACTCAGCAAGTTGGTGGAGCAAGCTACACCTGTGTTTTAATAAATGCCATGATACCAAGGATGGACGGCTGACCCGTGCCCCCTCGCTCACCTCCCACTCGCCTCCGTAGTCACCCGGCCGCATCATCAGGGAGGTCCTGGCCCCGCTCCGCGCGCCCGAGTACTCCGTGTGCTCCAGCTCGATCCGCTCCCCTTTTCGCACGAACCTGCCCAAGCGCACCGCGTTTTTACGTGCCCCCCCCCCACCCCCCCCGGCGACGGCGGGGCCCCCGGCACTCCGGCACGGTAGCACTCTCCACCTCTCGGCGGGGCCGGTGTGTATTCTGCATGGTAGCGTGGAACAGTCCGGCGATGACAACAGTAGTTAGTAGGTGTGACTTCCCATGGGATGATGGGACTAGGCCCTTTGTGCTTGAAACCAGGTGGTCGATTTGCATTCGTGGTTTTCTCCAAATTTGCGGGTAGTCGGTTGCGGTTTTGTGGGGCATCGCATCAGCGGGTGAATGGCGTGACGATTTATTCGCTTGGGTTGTTGCGAGAGAAGGGCAACGCAGGCAGTGTGTGTGCTTGATCCCGGGCCGTGCCAACATTGGCACCTACGTCATCCACGTAGACATCTACCTACAGATTCGGTGGGATAGGGGAACACAGGCAGTACAGTAGGTGTCCCGATCCAGTGCCGGTTGAATAGTGCCGGTGCCCGGTATAGTGCCGGCCACATCTATCGGCAAGGGTGTCCAATCCTATACTAAAAAACCATATACCTCTGCTCTGCATACTGCCGGTGTCCCAAATAGTGCCGGTCAAACCTCTAGGCAAATACCGGCCGTATACCGGGACAGCTACCCTAGCTTCTGGGCAGCGTCAACGTCACCATCATCTCCGGGATCTACGTAGACATCCAAAGACACAGCCTGGTGGGGTTGCCACAACAGCAATGACAGCAGCGCGCCCGAAAGCGAAACTCGCTCGCTGCTCCTGTGACCAGCCGAGTGTCCGCGTTCGGGGGCAAGCGGGTGGGGAACTTGGGGGAGGGGGGGGGGGG